TGGGGTGTATGAACCTGTTGTGGTGCTGGGGATATCTTCAAACGGACGTGTCAATTGCTGCTTGGCTTATAGGCAGCGTCAAGCCGCATTGTTTTAAAGCAGTAGTGGGGCGAGGCTCGAAAGCAAACCCAGACACCCATGGTGCAGCAGTGCATTTTGGATGGTTATGAAACACCTTATTCATGAAGCGAACCGGTCAAGGTGATGCCTTCTTCAGCAGACGGCTGCCACTGATGAGTTCAACGGTTTTCTTCATCTGTGAATCTGTGGCCAACTGGGCTCCAGTCAGAAATCAGGGTTGTACTTCGTGCGGTGGTTGTGCATGGTGTTCTTGAAAACGAGTGCCATTTTCTGCCTGGGCACTGGGGTTTTCGGGAAGTTTGTGAAAACAGTGCACAAATTGACAATGGCTATATCTACTTTCAGCAGAACTCACTGAGCTGATCATGTATAGATGCTGGCATAATGTTAGAAACATGTCAATGTTGGAGCACCTTTCAAGGCTGCGGGGAGGGTTTGCGCACCCTGGATCCATTGACATGGAAATCTTATGGCCCCTGTAGTGTATGTGCACGACGTACTCTGATGTTGGGGCCTTGCGTCTGTTCTTCCAAGAGCCAAGAGGACCCAACAAAAACAGTGGTAGTTCGAAAGGGAACCAGTATGCGACACTGGTTGGCGTGCTTTGGAATTTGTTTCTCCATTTGTGAGCTGCCTACCCCACCCCACCCCACCCCACCCCACCCACCCACCCCACCCCACACCCCACCCCACCCACCCCACCCACACCCACCCCACCCCACCCCACCCCACCCACCCCACCCCACCCACCCCACCCACCCCACCCCACCCCACCCACCCCACCCACCCCACCCACCCCACCCACCCCACCCACCCCACCCACCCCACCCACCCCACCCACCCCACCCACCCCACCCCCCACCCACCCCACCCACCCACCCACCCACCCCACCCACCCCACCCACCCCACCCACCCCACCCACCCCACCCACCCACCCACCCACCCACCCACCCACCCACCGCACCCACCCCACCCACCCATCCACCCACCTACCCGCCCCACCTGCCCACCCTGCCTGCCCACCCTGCCCATCCTGCCCACCCTGCCCACCCTGCCCATCCTGCCCACCCTGCCCACCCTGCCCACCCTGCCCACCCTGCCCACTGGATTGTGTTCAATAGCTGGCCGAGGTGGATCTGGAGATGTTCCCGAAGCTGCCAGTGCGATAGTCCCGTAGGTCCCGCTGGCAGCAGGGAGAGCTGCGACCGGACCGCGCCATCCGAATTTCCTCCATTCAGGTGGCTTGCCCGTTGCCAGTGCTTGTCTAATGTATACAGCTGGAAGATGCTGCGAAGGGCGATGTGGTTGAAGCCTAAGTTGATACTTATAGAAGCCACCAAACCTGGATGCATGCGTTATGTTCTGCAACTTGCGACCTGTGTGGTGTGATCCAGATAAATAGTGTTGATAGCCACGGCCTCTACGGCAGACCCCACCTTTTTCAACCCAAACAGTTTCGGGGTACACGAACCCGGCTTGTGTTCTTGACGTTCGGCAGAAGGTGCAAATCTCTGAATGCATCCTTTTGGAAGAGCGCATTCTCTTTCTCCAGGAGGAGCACTTCTTGTACTGACTGTACGAAGGGTATGATATGCACCTGAGTCAAACCGCACGAGACCGCATGCTGAAAGGCATTCCAGGAGAGATTCTGATGTTAAGGTAATTGTTCATGTGCTAGGAGCTGCTTTCTGCGACATGTTTGGCAGATGCTGGGGGCACAGATTCTTGAGTGCAGAAAGCGTCTGAGCCTTGGCATTGTTCACTGCTTTTCCGACCCAGTCGCCCTTCCACCCCTCTTCTTTTCGCGTGCATGCGAAGAGGCGAGTTCCCAGCAAGGCTGCCTGAGGTGTGTGCTTGCTATCATCTATTTTTGGGGCTGTTGAAGTCGCCTAGCGCGTGTTGGCGCGCCTCGCACGCGTCTGCTGTTCGGGTCTGGAGCTGGCAAGACAGCATACAGAGAGCGAGGTGCAGCTGGGCAAAGCTCGATTGCTCCCTCGCGCCCGTTGCAATCCCGCTGCACCTCGCTTCGAGCAGCGAACGCCTTTCACCGTCGGTGCCAGTTCAGCAGGACAAGCAAAGGACCTGCGCAAGAAAGCCAACATGGGATTTGCCACAATGAGCTTGCACATTCAATGGACACAGCCACGGGCCCATACTGTTTGGGGTTAGTGCCCGGCTTCCCCTTTGCTTTTGGTGGGCTGAGCCCACGTCTGATTGCAACAAAGAGTCAGTTGGCCAGCTAATTAAGATGTTCCGGACGTGCGACAACTCACAGTGCTGATGGTGAACGTGTACAATTCATGTTTGGGACTGCTCAACCATTCAAACACCCACAGCAGAAAGACATGCGCTCCCATTACAGTAGTGTTGCACGGCTTTTTTGCGCTGCACTTTGCCTTGCAAGCGGCACATGTGATGAATAGCCAGTCTCATGACTAGCGTACGACTCGAGAGTTTTACTTCCTGATTCGCCAACTGCCTTCAGGCTATTTAGCTGTATTGCACGCTTCATTGGGTGTCTAAAGAAGGAAGCTTCTTTCATATGCTATCACCACCTTTCTTCCGTGAAGATTTGCGGGATCCAGAAGGTGGGCGCCTCGGGACACACATGTCGCTTGCTTCGCGTGGCATGGCCGTACCGTGCGTTGGCCGTGAAATGAGCCTGGCATGGCAAATCAGGAAGATCAAGATGCGCTTTGGACGCTAGTGTGCACTGTTCGAATGGTAAATGCAAACATGAACAAGGGAGTCCGGACCGTATTCAATGCAAGTCAATGAATGACTAGGTGTAATATTTGTTCAAACAAGATGTTCTCAGTTGAGCTTCAGGGAACACATGAGCCAGGAATGAAGTCAATGCTTTGAGGACTGCTGAGAATTGGCACAAACTCCCACTTCCTGAACCATTGACTGTTATACACGTACAGGATAGTTTACCTGCTCATATGCCCGGCCTTTTGACTCAATCCGTGGGATGCTGAAACCAATCCCCAGAGTTTTAAGGTGAAGCCTGCGCCGATGCTGTAGATCCTTGTCGCAAACCCACAAGTCGCAGCGTTTTGATTGTGCTCAGTGCCCTGCTTATGCAGTAGGGTTTTCAGTACACCCTGAGGAAAGCTTCTTAAGGTTGAGACTGGCAAAAGCTTCATGAAAGTTCTGAGCCTCAATTGCTGAGCCGTAGATTGCAATGTGCGTTATATTGGTTGTGTCAAATCCTCCAAAGGGCAGGGAATCCGATGTCTATTCCTCGAATTGCAAAGTTGCGAAATGACTCTGAACCAAACATGTGCCTCAGGGACAAAAACTACCGAAACCTTGGAAGGCTTGCGACAGCCGCTCCCTGAAGCGGACCTTCATTGCAACGACGAAGATCACCTGGCTTTTTCATAGTTTGCTCAGATATGGATTTGCCGAGACTTGACGACCCAAAGTATGGTACATACAACAGGCAACTGCGAAATGCTTCTCAACTTGAGTTTGGATGTGTTTTGCTTTGTTGCTTCTACGCTCGGAAATCAGCAGCATCTGGCAAGGGTTTCTTGGCAGGTTTCAGGCAGGGCTGCCTGAGATTTTCTTCATGGGATCATCGGTCGTGCGCTCGTTGGCGGGGACATGTTCAGGCTTCTCATAGGCTGTGGGAGAGCGTGTTCTTCGGTTTCAGTTTGGCCTTTGGTCGGTCTTTCGGCGTTGTTTTTTTTTTTTTTAATGGTGGGTTTACGTATATTGAAATCATGTCGGTCCCCAACGCCCCCTCTGGTGGCAATTTGAATCCTCGCTTCGCACTCTGATAATTTTCGATTTTGGAGCCGCACCCCATGTTGAGCAACATAATGGCCGTCCCCCAAGGGGCGAGGCAAGTACTGGACACGTGGGGAAATGAGGATGCTGCAGGATAATCCGAAGTCGTTTCAGGGAACCTTGTATGTTGACGCTGCCCCTGTTTGATATTGTGTGGGCATTAAGCTGAGGGCCGGCGGTGATAGCTTTCCTGGTATCCACTGTTCAACGGGTGAGAGTGCTACCAACGAGTGATTCTGGCCTGAAAAGCACTCTAAAGCAGGTAGAGCGAATTGAATCGGAACTGATCCTGTGGATTGTGGGCATGGACCACAGAAAGTCCATGGCAGCTTTAAGTCCACTGCAGCATGGGACAGCTTTTTGTCTCAGACAAGCTCGGCATCATGCGCTTGGCTGCCAGTGGGTCTTCAAAAAGAGTGTTGCCGGCACTATAGTGTAGCCTCACAACAACGAGTAATCTGTAGTTGTATGCAAAGACTGAATTCAAGTCTTGCCAAAGGCGAACCCCCATTGGATGGTCACCACATGGATTCGTGGCAAGCAGAAGGCTTGGACTTATATTGTAGTGGTACAATGTCAATGTCAACATTTGCTTTGAGTCAGTAGCTTGAGAATTCACACTTCGCGCCGGTTTCCCACGAAATGTTGCTCGTCCGGCTGTTAGACTAACCCAGTATCTTGCTTCTAAATTTCAGATCCCTCTGCTTTGTACTTCAAAGGACCTGTCCAAGGCCAGTTTGCTTGATGATCAGCACTTTGACTCAAGACAATCTTGCCTCACTCATACAGTTGGATGGCCCATGTGCATTGTGCGATCAGAGTGCGCTGCGGCTACACCCTATATGTTTTCTGTGCAAAGGAGCAGGGTGACGGACGTACTGGTTTTGCATGCACTGCGTGGCCGGCTCTGAATCAGGTCTTGCGGTAGTCGCACCTAATAGCATGATGATTAGACGGCGTGCAAGATTTCTTTGCAAGCAAACTTCATGCATAAGACTACTGAAAACGTGTTGGAGAACGTACCAAGCCTTCTGTTGATCCCTTGTGTAAGGGCACTCCCTGTTCCTCCGTGTTTAACCTCAGTTACATGCGTAGAGGCAGGCAGACGAACCCAAAAGCATCCTGTTTGCCTTCACGAGTTTGCGGGTGGCACCGGCCCAACACAAACTTCGAGGCTGGGACAAGGAAGTCTCAAGAAGCTGTCAGAGAGTGTGCACAATGAGAGCAGTGGGCAGTGTGTTTTGTGTGGATGTTTGATATGGTAGAAAACGAATCAAGACAAGAGCCAGACCAAGCTTGGGGCATTGTATGCTTGTTCGCGGTTTCTGGCTGTGCTCACGTCCGCCGATGTTGAATGGTGCACAAAATATTCGATTCGGTTCATAACTCCGTATTGCTCAGATGTTTGGTGTTGAAGAATGGTGAACAAGCATGATGTGGTTCATTGTATGTGCGTTGTTTGGAAAGCGGGCAAAGCATCGATACTGGCTCATGCGTACTCGTTGGTTTGGTTGTATGCATGTTTGATATTCAAGGATGGACAAACGAATGATGTGTTTTATGTGCGTATGTTGTTCAATGTATCGAATTGAACAGCTAAACCGGCCAAGCGTTTGCGCTTGTTGGGCGTGTTTGTTTGGTGGTTGTCGTGTTTGCGAGGCTAGCAGGTAGCAAAGAACTTGAAGTGTGGCTGCTGAAGTTGTTGGCATTGTTCATGCTTGACGTGAGCTGTATGTATTGCTGGAGCTGCTTGTATTCGTGCATGTTTGATTTGCTGGGTGCGTTTGGGAGGAGGCGAAGCGCACATAAGCCGAGTATAGCACACGCACAAACAAACACAAACAAGAATCACTACACACCACAAAATAGTGATTAATGAATAATTGTGCAGAATATAATGTCACCACCCCCCTACCCCGGGCCTACCTTTCACCATTCTTGGTGAAAAGTGTCATACCTACTCTGCACTTCTCTTCTTCCACATGTCTGAAAACACTTCAAAATACAGTGTGTTTACTCGGTGGGGACAGCACACCCAGCAACAGGCTGCTGTCCATTGTGCGTCAATGCAGGCGGAGTCAGTGGCCTGGGCGCAAGTCCAGCACTGCATTGGCCAGAACTTAAAAGTATTCCTGACATCATGGACACGCGCTCAGAAAACACAGGGTGACGTTCTTGTAGTTGGGACCCACCAACTAACTTGCACGCGTCGCGGAACTAGGTGTCGGTCACTTGCCTGGCGGTGACGCGGGAAAATGCACCGCCGGCCAGAAGGACATTGGTTCGCTCGCAAAGTTCACTTTTGTTCTCGCTGCCATTGCAGCACTGCTAAAACCACGGCCTGTGGCTCCAAGGCTAGGGGAGTGCCCCCTCTTCGTGCTGCGGTGGGGGGGCCCAACGCAGTCCCCCTGTACCGCCGCCTTGCCGCACATTCCATCCAGCCCTTTCCAAACGTTCCGCAACGCCATATTAATATAGCTTGTTGGGAGCAGTGCTGCTCTGTTGCTCCTGGACAGAGTGGCGCGCTGACGCTGGGCGCTAGTCGGCTCCGATAACACATCCGAGGAAGCAGGCTCTCCGCTCAGTCGTTGCTCTCGCACTTCCAGCTGCGCTTTTATCACCGGTGATCTCTCACATACCCGGCGACAAACACAATGAGGCGGACGCACTCAGTCGCGACACACTCGAAGGCTGGGATCCAGCCTACTTGGCGACGTCCCGCACCTCGCAACCTGCTTCCTGCCGCATGCCTACTGTCTTCACCCAACCCAGAAACTGCCCCATCAAACAGCTGGTGGGAGTGCGGCGCTTCTGCGTTCCTGGGTGCTCTGACCGATGCGGCGGACCGAGCTCCAGGAAAGCGGTGCGCGCCCGTGAAGTGGTTTCGGCGGTTTCCGGGCACATATACTTGCGCAGGGGTACACACACACTCACGCTTGCATTCGTCAAGCGCGGTTTGGTGTCGCTCCGTCCGAATCGGAGCACGGATATGTTCACATGCTAAGCTGTGTTGATCCAATGCCATGGTAGCAACGACCAGTCTGCAGGGTGAGCGGTTGCCAGAACAAGACATGGTGCTTCTGATGAGTTAACTCTTGTACTTTGACAACCACCGTTTGCTTTGTCAGGCTCATGTTGCTATATCTTTGATCTCCGATCTTTTGCTGACACTAATTATTGAAAAAGGAATGCTTCAAGCTTTTGGTTCCGCCTTCATTGGCCCCTTCTTTGGCCGAACTGGCACAAATCATAGACAAATGTCATTTTCCTCTAAGATGTTACAACTGGAGGGATTCCTGGGAAAAAGCCATTGCATAGAAGGCTGATGTCATTTGAACATGGGCCGTGTTTGATAGTTTGAAGGCGTTCCAAGGGTGTTCCTCAAACCGCTGCCTGCAGATTCTGCCGATTGTACGGCGAGCTCGCCGATTCGGAGCTACGCCCCATGCAGGTCCTTGACTTGGCGATCCAATTCTTCAGGTTTTGGAGATTTTTCAGATACTGGCTATGGTTGCTACATGGGACAAACATTTTTCTTTAGCAAGAGAACAGTCCATTTTTTCGGTCCCTTCCGTTCTTCGGACCCGGCCCAAGGGTCGCAGCCAGGTGTTACCTGCGCGATGCCGAAGAGCTATGAGCTGAAGCTGCGGGAAGCGGATGAGCGGCGGCGGCCGAACCAACAGGAGCCAAGTGTCGCGGGTTTCGGATGTTGCGGATGTTTCGGGGGTGGTTCGGGGTGGGTCGGCTTATGCTTTGTGAAGTGGGGTGGGATTGGGGTGGGGTGGGTGGGGTGGATGGGATGCGGAGGGGAGGGCATGGGATCGGATGGAATGGGATCGGATTGGGGTGGGGCGGGATGGGGTGGGCTGGGTTGGAGAAGTTGGGGAAGTTGGGGGAGTGTAAACACTATGTGTTACAAACACCCCCCTGGTTTGGGGATACGTACTCGCAGCCCTTGCCATTTTAACAGGCCTCACGTACAGACTATTTGCCGCCACCGTGGTTCGGGGTTTTAGGGCTAGGTGCTTGCAAAATTGATCAAAATTGCCTCTAAGTGTCCATGGCAGGGGAGGGCTCTGTTGGAGATTCCTGGCCAGGAGTCAGGTATTTTGTCATGGAAGGAAAGTCATGGAAAGGCGATTTCTACAGGATTGCAAATTTCGTGCAAGTGGATTGAGGGCAAACACTTGATGATTCGCGGTTTGGCCACAGTTGCTTCCCGAGCAAGGGGAAAGCACCCGTCTTGACAAAAGGAAAGCTCTAGGAGCCTAGGAGCACTCACCGAAAAAGCAACCAAGACCCGGGCTGGATTCTCAAGGTGCCCGCCACAACCAAGCTAGAACCATCCAAAGGTTTGCTTGTCCCGCGTGCCTTCTGTCCCCGGGCCCACGTTCACTCTTTCACGCCTCCTGGTTTTGACCATAGGAATCAGGGAAGAGGCCTGGGGTTGGTTTTCTGACTCAGCCCAGCTCCAAAAGTTGGTCATTTGAGCTTGTGAAAGGACCAAATTGACACAGTTGGAGCCTCCAACAAAAGGACCCAGTTCATAGAAGTGTTTGCCTTGGTGATGGAAGTAAAATCTGCAGTTGGACTGCACATTTGTGTACCGGCTTGGAACGAACATCGAAATGAAAGCTTGAACCGCTGGGTTTGGTTTTTTTGACAACTAGCTGCTTGGCTGCCTTGCTTGGCCTGTTCCGAGCCCAAGTCTGAAATGGTGCCTTATCGGCTTGCTTCTTTTTGCACCAGCTGCGCAACAGCACCAAAATGTTCCTGGAGTTAATTACTGTTGAAAGCAAGGTCGGTTCTGGACACACTATGCCACGCACAGGGGGCTCTAGGTGCTTACGACGTAGAGCAGTGTTGATTGGTTGTGCTCGGGTCGGCCGGACGTTCTTGCTCGTCAGCACACGCTCATCCCGCCGACAGGAGGAGATTTATAAGGCTGTGGAAGGCAAGACCCAGAAGAGACTCAGATCGCACGTGAAAAGCATGGGCTGGATGAGGCCCGGCCCACTGGGGCACGCATGCGCAAAGTGCTTGATCAACACGACGGTTTATGTATTGACCCCACGTGTCCTGTGTTGACATCGCGGCCATGCTGGCAGCTAAGCTTGTGAGCTGATTGAAGAGGATCAGACCAGCTCATGGGGCCATTTGGCAAATTCGATGCTTAAGCCAAGCCATGTTCCAATCAGAGAAGCCACACGGAGCTTGCATGCCACACGTTTGTCTCAGCAGACACTTCGAGGGGCGCAACAACCAGAGTTTAGTCTGTGTGTGTAAGACTGTACACAGTTCCAGCTGAGGCCTTTGCTCCCAGTCTTCAGTATTGCACTGGATCTGTGAACCTGCCATATATTATACTAAACTGCCCATGGGAGGGAGCCAGCGGGTAATTGGGCCCGCCAAAGCCCTGTATTGTCTGCCATGATCGTGACCACAGCTCATTAGCTACCGTGGCTCCTTTGGAGGTGCGTTCAAACGGAACCAACATGAAACCAGGCATTTGAATGGGTACGTTGTGTTGGCATTTACCCTCACAGGGAGTACGAGTAGGACATTGCAAATCTAGCCGCGGACTTATAGTATATTGTTGTGGTTCCTATGTCTCACAGTGGCAATTGCTGACAAATTGCAGAACAATATTATTCTGAATTGAGCCTGTGTGTGAGTGTTTGGCAAGGGAAGACAGGGCACAGTTGGCCAAAAGGCAGATGGAGGCAGGCGGCTGAACTGAGGATCATGCTGGGCTTTGACCATCCAGAGTCCCTTCAGTTCGAGATGCAGCTTACCTGGGTGGAAGACACCTGGACGGTTGCTTGGCAACCTGCGGTGTGGAACCCTTTCCTGGATTGCTTTGATACACCATGCTTAGATGCTGGACGTGGCATGGAATTGGACTCGGACCTGCACCTACACTGGACTGCACGGTAGGACCTTTAGAAGATAGCCCCATTTAACCGGACTGGGCTACAGAGCTGCCACAGCTTGGTGCAGTGGCGTGGTTTCTTGTTGGCTTCGTCAATGTGTTTTTCTTGTTAGCCTCAGAATAAGTTTGCGGCATGTGTTGATCCAAGAGCAAGTGTCCATGTTCTGCCATGCTCCATTTGGATGGATTTGCTTACTAGACCCTGGCGTTTGAATGTAGGGCTTACGCGCCTTCAGCAAGGTCCTTGCGCAGGGACTGCTCTTGGACACGTCAAGACCTTGAAGCGTTTCATTATACCACTGCTTAGCTTGCGCCATTGCAAGCTACATTCAAACTAATTAGTTGGACACGGGGAGGCTGAGGGTGGGCATGCCAACTTGCAGACCCCAACGCCATAGATTCATCGGGTCTCCTTTTGCTCGCTGACCTCACATAAAGACTTGAGCTACCACGAAAAGGCTTGGTTCAAGGAATATGTATATACTGGGTGAACACCCGCCGAACAGGTGAGGATTTGGCACGTAAGGCTTTTGGCAGCGGCTGAATTGGATACTTCATTCTTCTTGCGAATTATTTGGACCGCTGACCCATTGTATTTGCACGTAGAGAAATTGCTGGATTTGAGTTTCAGCGCAACTTCTGTCAAGTGGTCATCGCACGCGCCGGGAATTGCAGTCCCCGAGCCCTTTACGTGGCCTGGCGAGGGTCTTAGAGGTAAATGTGCGCGCAGCATTAATGTTAACCCCGGATGAGACAGCCCTGGTTGATTGAACTGTGAGGTGTCCCCTTTTAGTGGGAATCCTTCAATCTTGTGGGTGACGCCCTTCCAGTAGCATGGGTTGATGAATCCGGGGGTCTCATTGTAGCTCTCCACTCCAAGCCAGCGATGAAGCTGGATATGCTCATCCATCCATCCTCAGGTGGAGCAACTTCACGACCATCTGCTTTCGGAGGTCAGACGCTTGGACGCGGAGTACAGGCCGGCGCCGGGGCCGTCCAGGACGATGTTGCGTGTGTTTAGCACTTTGTTCAACTTCGACCTTCTTTTGTGATGCGCTTGATTGATATTCACCAACACTGTTTTGAAAAGGCATTGCACATTGATGGGTCATGCGAAGCCTTGCTTGGACAGCATTGCGATGCTTTGCGTTGTTCCGTGCTTGCATTTTTCGGAGCAAGCAGGCAATCGGCATGAGTGTGCAATTAGGTTCGCCCTGCAATTTACAGCCACAACCATGCTAAGGCGGGTCCATGTAATCGTTCAACATGAACTTGCGTTTTGAAGTGCTTTCTGTTGACTTCATAAGCACTGAACATCTGTCTCACTTTGTCCAGGGCTATTCAGATTGCCAGACGCACATGGCGGGCAGAGGTGTCATTAGATCAGCATCGTTTTTGGAGAGTACTCTTTTCAGGTTGGTAATGGCAAACCAAAGAAGGCCGAAGATGGGGGTCACCCTTTCACTCACATGTCGACATACCCATTTGTGGGGACAAGCTCGCTCGCTGCAGGCGGAAGCCGATTCGTGGAAATTACTCCCAGAAGTACGTGTGGTTTGATCGGCTGCTTGGCTTACGGGTACGCTTGAGGATGGGTTGAAGGGAAGCAACAAAGGGCGCAATGTCAAAGAGCCAAGAAAACGGGCAGCTTCGGATTTCAATGCGGAGAAAAGAGGTTTCCTGATCCTTGTCAGGGGAGTGGATTTGAAAAGCTGCTTCTGAGTCTACTCGGACAGTGATAATCTACGGATGCACAGAACATCGCCCCAATCTATGATCAGCACTGAGGAACGAGCTGCTCCAATCATTGACTTTCATGCGATATGTCCGAGGCGCAATTCACAAGGCATGTGGTGCGGAGGGAAACTCAATGATTATTTTTGGGCAGAGTCTGTGAACCTACGAAGAGTGATCCCTGGGTGCCTCAGGTCTAACTGGACGCCTATTGCGCCTATGATTGCTGTCTACTGTACATTGGCTTACAACACATGCCATTGACTCTGTGCCGCTTTTGTTTGCACACATGCAATCATGCAAGGTGCTGCAATATGTGTGTGGGTGGTTGTTTGCTTTCAAACAACGCGAGACGGGAGGGCCCCAGCCAATTGTTTTCACGAGCCGTGGAAATAAACAAAGGCCGGCACTTACATGCGTGTTTAATTTCACTTGCACATCTCTTTTGCACAGGGAGAACGGCAGAGTATTTAAGAAATCATGGCGAAGCCGCGTGCAACCAATAGGCAGTCCATGTTCTGGATTACACTTGCGTGTTGCTGCGAGAAGCTTCTTGAGGATGTTTGCCACCTGTTGGTTCCAGCATTGAGCTGCTTAGTTCCTAGGCTCAGGTGTTGATTCAGTAGCCTTGTCACACAACAGCTCGTTAATTCTCACAAATAGAAGATACATTGCGGAACCTGTGTGCCGACTTCAATTGGCTGGCTCTCAGGGAATGGTTTGACGGTTTGTACGAATGAACCAGAGGGATCCTCTTAAAGCCAAGCTGGATGATTTGGCTTGGCCAAATCAGCAAATCGAGAACGCCTTTCCTTTGGATTTGTCTTAAGTGGGGAACCTCTAAAATGGCCGGAATCCTTTCTGTGTCCCGCTTCAGCAACCTGAGAAAGGGTGCCTTCAACAAAATACCAGTTGCACGTAGGAAAGAGTAAAGGCGAGTAAGAGGAAGAACACAGAATAGGTGGGTTTGGCTCAACTACCAAAATGCTTGGTTTCCCTTTAGTTTCCCAACCAATACAGGATTTCCCCAACAAGACACGCCCATGGGTGCGCGTCTGGGACCAGCTTACATCTTCGCCCGCGAACAGGATGAGCAAAGGATTGAATCCCAGAGTTAGGCTTGAACATGGGTGAACGTTGAGCAAGTCCCCTTTGAGCCCCAACCAACTGAGGTTCATCTTGCGTCCGCGAGTCCAGGGCCGCGAACTCACGCTCCAGGATTATGGCATCGACCCTCGGGCACGGGAAGTGGCGGGTCTTTTGGGAAGGTAGCTCTTGGTTTGAACAGGGGTCCCTAAATTTCTCTTCTTTGATGGCTTTGAACATCACCTTCCTGGCCCATTTAAGGTAAGTTTCCCTTTTATAGAGGGGGAACCCTGTGAAAGGGAAACCAGCATTGATGTTTTGGGAGTCCTCCCAATCTTGACACATACCTAAGTGTGAAGTGGGATTTGCGGAGTCGCAAACTGATTGTTTCATAGCCCACACACACAGGGCAGCAAACTGGAAGGTATCATGTGGCTCACTGCTCAGTTGTCCTACTGATCGAACTTGCTGTCTTCCCAAAAACATCTGGCTCTGTGGGGCTGTGATGCCGCCAAGAGATGCTGACAATGCATTGTTTGAACAGCTTTCAGCAGGCATCGTGTGTTGGCTGTCCTAAACTACTGCGCTCGGGTGCATGTTTTGGTTGTGTCGCCACGCGGTAGTGCAGTAGTAAACCATGCCATACTACTTGCGGTAGTTGTGCCATAGTGTGGCAGTGAAGAACCATGTGCAAAACGTGTCCCACGTTATGCCTTTGTTCTTGTTTTGGCCGTTTGCGCCCCAGAAACGGTGAGAGCTTGGCATTCTGACTGAACGAACTCTTTGTAAAGCGGTAAAACACGGTTGGATATCAATTAGCTGTGAAGTTTAATAGGCAAACCACATCAGAAGTGGCTGGTGGGCAGGAAATCCCAGCCAAGTATGTCCACCCAAGGGTCGCTAATTTAGATTCTTGGCCAGTCAACTACTCCGTCTGAGGAACTCTGGGAGACCAAGGCAAGAGCACGGCTGGTTAGCTACATGTAATTCCTTTCGCCCAGTCAATGGGAGGGAGACAGGCGAGCATGCAAGGTTGCCGAGTTGGCCATTTGCGAACACCTGCGAAGCAGGATCCTTCCTGAGATACAGACTCTGAGGCCAATCTCAGCAGTCTCACTTGCCCAAAACGAATCGACGCATTGACCTTTTGTCTGTTTCCCTTTTTTATTTGTAGTCAAGGTGCCAAAAGGTGAACCCTGTCCTTTGGGCCAGTCTTTCCTTGGAGTCCCTTCCATCCCACCTAGGAGCCGGGCTTCAGAGTGAAGATCAGCCCGCTGCTCGCCTTAGGTGTCTTCCGCGTGTGTATTTGGGGGGTTTGGAAAGGGATAACACCTCTTCTCCTGCTTTTTTTTGGGGGGGGGCCCTAAGAAGCGACACACTCACATTTTCTAGTATTAGCGATTCCCTTGGTTCTCGTTACGTATCCAATCAATACCCCACAAAGCCTTGGCCTTGTTTGCGGGTGCCTACAGGTGCAAGACGGGTCAGGTGAACTTGCCGGGGGGGGAATAAGGGAACCCATGCGTACTGTGTGCGCATGTGTATGTCATGTGTTTTCCATGTGACAATGCATGTCGTCCAGAAGAGCCAGGAAATAGTGTTCATCTAGCTTACTGGAAGCTCCCGCTCACTCACCCACGTTTTGCCACGTTAGTTTGATCGGCAGGCTTTGGATGGTTTGCTCAGCTACGTTTACTTTGTCCTGTTTGAAGCTTTTCGAAGATTGCAGAACATGTTGTGTCTTTGAGTTTTATTGCTTGTTCCCAGTGCTCATATTGCGACTGGGCTTTGTCCACAAGCTTTTCATGTCATGGGCCACAAGAAGTCGCGCGGGCAGATAATTGATTTCTTCTCACCTGCATGCAGTCTTCACGTTCAAATCCTTGCCATCCCAGGTTCTACCAATCTGAAATGATGTGGGCCCAGCCATGGCCGTTCGATCTCAGACACTTGGCTTCGGAGTTCGCCGCTGGTTTGCTGCATTTTGGGATGGGAAACTTGGAGATCCGCCCAGTCCAGCAGGGGCGGTGCGAACAGGGGGACCACCTTTTGCTTGTTGATCCCCTTGATAACCTGGGTACCGGGCTGGTTTGGGCCGAACCGAATAGTCGTCAAACCTGCAAGACGAAGTGTCGCACACTTGATCACCAGCTGGATGTTGTATAACATTGTGAAGAAGCACTGGCTGAAGCAGCGATTTCATGCCGGCGTACCAAGCCTCAGCTTTAGAATGGTCCGAGAGTTTGGCAAAGTCACATGTGCAAGGCAGCACAAGCGATATGTGTTGGTTCTCCGCTTGGTTTCAGATTGGGCGTGATGTACATCAATCTCGCAACAGGGAATAGAATATACGTATGTTGAAGAGGTAAACACATAGGTCATGACTCGAAGTCATAGCGATCCGCTGCTGGGACCAACGCAAGTTCTCGTATTGTTTCTGGGAGAAACTCAGGAGATGTGGTCGCGACCTCGTCTAGCAGAAGTCGGTAGAGGGTAGCCAAGGCAAACGGCCGTCAAAAGCAGGAAGGTACTCTTTGGTCAACATTGCGTGGGGTTTATCAGGATGGCGTATTAGCACTCAGCCACCACAAGGAATTCTACCAAGACCGCTGGACCCCACACCGCAAATTCGTGACAATGGCATACGTGACTGCCCGTAACAGCCGGAAACCGTGGAGCTTTTTTTTGTTTGCCTGCCCATGCATCTCAGGCAAGGAACGGCCCAAAGAGCAGACGCAGCCTGCCGAGGACCTACATGATCGGTGGGTACTGTATCCGAAAATGTGTAGATGCCCGAGTTTGAGATAAGTTATTGCCAAAATCGTGCAAGATACGGTGTTGGCAATGACAAATGCCCGATTCTCGAAGAGCAGGTGTCCTTTTGCGTCCTTTTTGGATGATACATTTAGACCAATGTGTCAGCGCAGACCAGCATGCTCACCTGCTCCTGGTAGTGAGACCGCGTTCTCTTCAATTTGAGTCTTGTTCGCATGCATCTTGCTGTGCGTACGCATACCTGCAGGGCGTGCAGGGATTGACATGAGGAATCTGTATAGAAAGACATTCTGGGCTCCCTTGAGTGGAGTGGCCAGTAAATACGTACACGTTTCTGGGTGTTTGTGAGTCCTCGTTGGCTGTCGCGCAGTTCTCATTAGCGATTGAAAGAGCCTTTCCGTTGGTGGGTGGTGTGTGCTTTTTGCAAGTACACTGCCGATATGTCAGGTAACCTTGAGCTGATGAGTTGGATTGGTAGTTTGGCGGCTTGTACCCCCGGTTCTTGTAGAGGGTAAATGGGAAACCACCCCTAAACTCCAAACCGCCAATTCAAAGCTGAATATGCTGGTTGCTGGGCTGGGCAGGCTTTTGCGTGCGAAGCGCAAGCATTTCCCAGGCAGTTTTCAAGGCAATGATCCATCCATATTGATTCCGGAAGACGTTTCGCGCGATACTCCCTGCAGTCAAAAATGCGTCCAAGATTCCTCGAAACAGGGTTTCCCTTGCATCAACGAAAGATATTGGGCGTCCCAAAGAGTACTAGGCAAACTTATTGGGCAGTGCTGTGGTGTGGGCCAAGTGTAGCAGGCAGCACAGCAGGTGTGGGAAGGCCCTGCAAAACGAGGATCCACAAAATTAATACCCCCCCCCCTCCCCCGAAATACTCAGTTTTTGGGCTAGAACTGAGGCGGTTGGCTGTGTAAAACGCACTTTCCAGCTTTTAAAAGTGATGCTCTAAAAACGCACCCTTTGTTGGACGTAAACTCTAGCATCGGTACATAGTGCAATCCAGGATGTGCTGGCAGCACGTGCTAGCACATCCTTGGTTGAAGATTCAAAAAATATTGTCTGACAACTCTTTCTGGGAATCTTCAAATCTGTACTTAGAGCAATCCAGGATTAGCATGTGCTAGCACATCCGGGATTTAAGATTGAAGATTCTCTGACAACTCTTTCTGGGATTCTTCAATCTTCAATCCAGAATGTGCTAGCACATATCTTTCGGGCCTGCGGCCTCTAGCCAGCTACGCCTCTTTGAAGTTATTCCCCAAACAGTGTGGCCACTGAGGGGCTCTTAAGGTAAGAGTAAAAGCCCGGTACTAGATCGAGGTGCCCGGCCTGGCCGCGAGCATTTGGCGTGGTATTTAGCGCAAAATCGTGTCTGTATGATGTCGAAGTGCGTTTCGACTGCGCAGGCTGGCACAAAATGAGGCCCCCGAGTTTGTCCGGGATTCTTTTGCGTGGTATTTACCGCGTCGAAGTGTGGTTCGACTGCGCAGGCGCACAGAAATTGAGGCCCGCGAGTCTGGCTGCGAGCATTTGGCGTGGTATGTACCGCACAATCGTGATGTTGTATGATGTCGAAGTGCGTTTCGACTGCGCAGGCTCGCGCAAAATGAGTCCCCCGAGTTTGTCCGGGAGCAATTTGCGTGGCATGTGCCGCAAAATCGTGATGCTTCGTGACGTCGAAGTGCGGTTCGACTGCGCAGGCGCACAGAAATTGAGGCCCGCGAGTCTGGCTGCGAGCATTTGGCGTGGTATGTACCGCACAATCGTGATGCTGTATGATGTCGAAGTGCGTTTCGACTGCGCAGGCTCGCGCAACTTGAGTCCCCCGAGTTTGTCCGGGAGCAATTTGCGTAGCATTTACCGCAAAATCGTGATGCTTCATGACGTCGAAGTGCGTTTCGACTGCGCAGGCTCGCACAAAATCAGGCCTTCGACTTTTTCCGGAGGCACTTTGCGGGGTACTTACCGCAAAATCGTGATGTTGTGTGGTGTCGAAGTGCGTTTCGATTGCGCAGGCTCGCAGAAAATCAGGCCCACGAGTCTGGCCGCGAGCACGTTGCGTGGTATTTTCCGTAAATCGTGATGTTGCATGATGTCGAAGTGCGTTTCGATTGCGCAGGCTCGCAGAAAATGGCCGCAAGCATTTTGCGTGGTATTTGCCGCACAATCGTGATGTTGTATGATGTTGAAGTGCGTTTCGACTGCGCAGGCTCGCAGAAAATGAGGCCCCCGAGTTTGTCCGCGAGCATTTTGCGCGGCATTTACGGCAGCATCGTGCTGTTGTATGATGGCAAAGTGTGCTTGGACTGCGCAGAGTCTGGCCGCTAGCACTTTGCGTGGCATTAATCGCGAAATCATGATGTTGTATGATGTCGAAGCACGTTTCGGCAACACTGCGCCGTGTAAGTGTAGTGTTGGGCAAATATGCTCTTCGGTTTGCTGGCGGGTGGAAGAGTTTGCTGCGGGACATAGGTACAGAAACTTACAGTGACGCGAATAATTCCCCAACCACGCGCTTGCGTTGCGACTTGTTGTTGCGACTTGCTTTCGTAAATCTAGGGCCGGCGGCAGTGCGTCGCGTGCCTCAGTCGGTGTTGCGCGGCACGGAAACCTCCAATTCCATGTTTCACGCATGAAAATGCTGGCAACCACCCGCTGCATGTGTTGTCGGTATACGAGCGCCCGCAGGATGCCCATATCTTTCCAGCCCGCGGCCGGCGGGTCAGCTTGATTGTTTGTGCCCGTCATTGTTTTGGGGTCCCTTGCCGGGACAACTTTTATGAGAAACGTCTCCTGTGCTATGATATGGCTGGTTAGGTTCTACATGCTGCCCACTCCGGCCGGCCGAGGCCCCAGAACGAGCAGCCCAAAAAGAGTGCCAGCGCATATCTTTTGGGCCTGCGGCCGTCTAGCCGCCTCTTTGAAGGCACAGTACCATGGCATGACATTTTAGCTTGTGAAATTATACCAAGTCAAGTCATTTTATTGTGTGTGAAACGTATCCTATGCGATTATGCATTTTGCCAACTCCAGCCATCAACATATCCCAGCTGATGCTGGGATGCCAGCTTTCTGAGCCGCAGCAGGGCCCCAACCAAGTCAAATGGAAAATGCGCGAAAATGAGCCTTGCTTTTATCACGTAATGTTAAAAGAGCAGTGCTTCGTGGGTTGAGAGGCTTTTTGGAAGGAAGTCTCGATGATGCAGACCAAGCCCCGCTGATGATGTCAGCCACACAGCCTAAACCCTGCATATTCTCAAGCCCGAGCTGGTGATGCAGAGGTGCCGGATTTAGGCAACGCGTCACGACCAAGTGTGAGCGCTGGCGGCACAGGAGTGCAGCCCCATAGCTAAAGCTAGCAGGCAAATTGCCTAGCGGCAACTGACTGCCGCCGACCCCAACAGCAGCGAAATCCTGATCTAGGATTGTGAATTCCTCCGCGTCGTTTGTGGCGGCGCGAAAGTCAACATTTCGCACCTCACCAACCAGGCTTGGTTGGGATGGACCGAAGCCTCGGTGTTTGTGGGCCTGGAGCCTGCCAGCGCCTGCCCCAGGGCCAGCCCCATCGGTCTTCAGTCAAGAAACATGCTGGAAACCGGGCAACTTCCCATCCGCAACCCTCTACAAACCGATCAAATTCCCCCTCCAACTCCGGTCAAAGCCCCCCAAAAACCGAACACAATCCCATTCAAGTTCTTCCCAAAAAAATGTAGAAACCGATCCCCCTCTAGAAACCTGTCAAATCCCTTTTTTTAAACAGGTCCATCTCCGGCCAAATCCTTCCAGATCCCAGAAACACTGCCATTCTACAGCTCTCTACAGCTCTCTGCAGCTCTCTGCAGCTCTCTGCAGCTCTCGTTCTGGCACTCGAAGCCACGTGGGAACATACCCACCCCACCCTCTACCTTGGAAACCAGCTTGCGCAAACACAATATTTCAAGGGCACGGCGTACACCTCAAATCCAGCCAAAAGCGGACTGACCGAGGCAGGCAACGCGAAGCGTTTATGTCGCAGTTGCATTTACATGTTAGTTCACGCTTGCATAACTCCGTATACGTTGCTTGTCTAATTTGGTTCAATCATTATCAATAGCAACTAGGTGCTGCCCTGAATCGAATATTCAAGATGCCACAAACATTATTTTAGAACATTCTCCACCCTGGCCCCTCAAAAGCTTGACAGTTTAAAGTTTTCCCCCTTGTGTTGAAGATTGAATATCTACCAGATTTTGTATTTGAGAATCTTCCATCCTGGCCAGCCTTCAAGTCCACAAACAAACTGTAAAGTTGTCAAACAACATGTTTCCCACCTGGCGAAACGCAGGCGATGCAAGTGCACATCCACCGATTGATTCTGACAACGTGCACTCCCTGTCTGCCTTTTGGATTCTTCTAATCCATACCATAGGGAAACCCTTGACCTTTTGAGAATCGCAGTCCAGGCATAGATTCACCAATTGCTTTGTGGCATGTCCAACTCTGGCGACACCTGGATTTGGGGGTCACTGGGTTGCGGTTACTCGCCCATCAGCCATGTGATCAAGGCTATGGGGAGCATTGCCCGAAAAGTGAGCCTACTGTTTCTGGTTGATTCCTTGCTGACCCAGTTTTGAACAAGGTTGGGGGGCTTGAGAGCAGAAGTCAGGGCGCCGTACCAGAACCAGACAGTGGCTTCTACTTTATCGAAGTGTCACGATATTTTAGATGAGCTCTTTGGAGTTCGCATCTTCAGCAAGCTCTCCGTTAGAGTTGAAGCGGACCCCCATCAACTTCTACAAGGATTTTGAAGATGGAGCTGAAAAGGGGCCATCGAGGTTTCTGGCGCAGTGAAGCACGGTCACTTTTACGTGGTGGTGGACAAAATTGGCTCTCTGCTCCTTGGCGCTTTGTAGTTCAGCAACAGTTTTTGCAAACTGTTTGAACGGTTGTCGCAATGGTTTGAGGCTTGTCTGAGGCTGGAGTTTGAGCGGCCCGCCTCACGGTTTTTGTTGTGATTTGAGGCTGCTTTTAGGCGGCTTGTTTGAGTGAGGCTGTTGGCCGCTCCACTGCTTTGGATGTCAGTTGCAAGTAGGAATGAGGCCCTTTCCACCAAGTTGATGATTTGCTCAAATAACAATAGCCAAATATGAAATCCCCTTCACACGCGACTCTTGTGCTGAAAAGTTGCGCTTTTTGAGCTGGAGCTGCCAAAGTGCACTTTGCACACTCCAGTGGGACTTTAAGTGCACTTCGCACGCCGACGTGACTTTCGTGTTGTTCGTGCAGGATTTCCGATTCAACGTTGAGATTAACTTCTGCTTGGTTGCAATTTGCATGGAACTGCACGTCCTCTCGATCCATTACCCCCAGCCGCCATCACCTGAGTATTTCAGCCAGTGGTAGCATATATATATATATATCTCTCTCTTTCTCTCTCTCTCTCTCTCTCTTTCTCTTCCCGCTACCAGTTTCGCTAGCCCGCGCATCCCCGGCATCCCGTTCATTTATCTAGGCTACCCCGAACCAAGCCTACACCAATCAACCAACCCTTCACCAACACCCACCCACAACCGCTCCAAAGTGGGGTTGCCGTGGCCAGGGGTGGGGTGAGGGGGAGGGGGAACTAGAACTTGGAAAACGTGTAGGCCAACAGGTCTTTGCTATAACCGCACTCGGCTCAGAGAAAAATCCAACATCATGGATCCTGAACATTCACTTCACTTAATCAGGCGCGGTTTCTGTGGTTTTCACAGCCCACTCGCAGATGCCTCTTTTTTGTTTGGTGCCAAAGCTGCTGGATTCCGGAAAGTTTGCCAACACAATCTGTTGTTTGACTCACTCCAACTGCTCGCCTCCAGGAACTGCTAGCCCAAATGGTTGGGATCAATGAGGCATGAACTATGGGAACCGAAGTGAGGTAGAGGCCAGCCACAGGGACGGAACTTGTCCATTGAAAGCAAAAAGAAAAGCAGTCGGGGAGAGAGCCTTCAGGTTCCACAATGGGAGGAACATTTTCCCTTGAAAGGGCATGTTCAAATGTAGCAACTCAATGGAACTTCCCCTGTTTTGCCGTGCACGATTTCAAAGAAGAGGTCCATCACTGTAGGCTGACCGCAAGATGCAAGATCATGTTGGTGTCCCACGTCCAACTTGCAACCGGGTGCCTTAAACACAGCGGCCTGATCCTGTCAGGATCCGCAACTCTTGCTGCGGTTGGACAAGAACAGCACTGGCCTTTCGCGGCCTGCTATGTAAGAGAGAGTCAGCGCGTACAGCGGCCGTCACCCTTCAAGTTTGGGCACGTTTGGGCCTGGCTGACGTGCTACAGCCTGTTTGGAAATATCGGAAAGATGGTGGGCAAAGCGAAGACATGCAAGCCGGTACGTCTTGGCCAGTCAAAAATCAGTTTTACCAGCTAATTTTGGGAGAAGCCCTTTGCAACGCCTGTATTTTGGGATGGATCCTTCTACCTGTTTTGCCGGTCTCAGGACTCGCGTCTTCTTCTTCCCCTGGCTGGGCGGCAACTCTTCAGCGCTGCCCGGCAATGAAGCTCAACAAGGGTTTGTCTTGCGATAGGCCCCCCAAAAAAGAAAGAGAAGAAACGTATACGGGTTTTCCATTTTGGCTTCCCTATAACACCAAACCCTACAGGGTACCCTCAAGAATCTATTTGGAAATTGCAGGTTCCGGAATCTTAGTTGGCATGCCCTGATTTTTTGACAATTGAGCACCCAAGTCATTGGTCCGCAGGATGGTCAACTTGTGTTGTGAAACGCACATGGTGATGTTTCGCTGCACGCGCTCCTCGCAGCTGATTTCTACTTGCCTCATCCGATGTTGGAAGCACAAATGCTGGAATGTATGGTAAACCATACAAAGCATCAATCACTGAGGCTGCTCCAACGTCTCTTGTGCCACGAGTTCTGCTAGTCTGAATGGCTTTCACCCCTCAAATCCTGTCAGCTCGCAGACACAGGAAAGACATGCGCTAATTGCCCAGGTACCTCCCAGTCGTCCAGAAGATGCCTAAGGCCAATCAGAGAGTAGCATTACAGCTGGAACACGAGAGTCAAGGATGGAACTGAGGGTCCTCCAGAAGGGTTCTATAGCTTAGGGTAATATTGAATCAAGAATCCGACCCTCTTTTCTTGGTGCAGCCTCAGAGAAGAGGACACTAGATGCTCCTAATGAGACACAAACCTTCAGCACGGCCAGGAGCTGCAAGGCGCCTTGCCAACATCAAACCCCTCGTTACTGAATTGTACCAGGGAAAAAGTGATGGCACAATTCCTTTTAACATGTGGGTAAGCAGTGGGGATGACTTAACCTACATGTGGGAATTGTGCCATATACTTCCGAACTGCATGAGAGTGAAGCTTCACTCGGTCCAATTCTGATCTTTTGGGAGTGAGGGAATGCTGAAGTCACTCACATAGCATGCTAGCTCCCTTCATCTTGGAACCTTACAGATTCGATGTCCGACGGGGTAGCATTTGCAGCACTTGTCAGCGATCCTTTCGTCCTTCCCGTTTTTTGTTTTTTTTTTGGTTTTTTTTTGTTCTCTTGAATGCTGGGTGTGTCTTTATTTTAAGTGTACTCTTTCTTGGATCATCTAACATGGTGTCCATATATGTAAGGGCACTTGATTTTAGTTGGTCCGATTTGCACCAGTGCCGTTTATCGGTTCAAAAGGATCAGGACCCCTGGCATCAAGCGCCAGGACATTGCCTGCTACGCTCTGGACATGCCTGGCAGGGGCGAACGAGAAGACGCAGAGGGCTATCCGTAGCTCGACCGTGTTTTGTTTAATGCACAACTTTTGTGGGCAAGTGATTTCCCCCAAAGGGTGCCCAATCAAAGGGTGTGCAATGAGATTTCATGACGTGTGGATTGTGGGACTGCGAAACGAGATGATATGATTTTTGTCTTAAACACAAGTTGTTTGACCTTGCATGCTGGAAAGTTCTTAGGCCACTCCTGGTCATGCTTGGCAACCTTGTGCCATGGATGTCACTCCTGGCATGAGCACTCTGGTCACTTCAGTGTTCTATTTTGGTTCCTTTGCCAGTGTGGATTTCGGCTTGTAGCCACTTCAGATTTGTCAGGGCGGTCGGTCTTTGTCGCTTTGATCCAACTTCACCGATCGTTGAACCATCCATATGATCCTCGGGTTCTGCTCTGAATCCAGTATGCGTGGTATGGGTTGTGGTGTTACCATCAGATATTCTGGGTTTGCAAGACTGTAGCAGGCGCTGGCTGGTTTTCTGGGCGGCATTGTCTTTCTGCCGTAGAACATCAGTGGGTACCGCGGTTCACAGATTTGCATGCCAAGATGCTACCAGAAGCACAGACAGGAGCCTGTGAGATTGCATGCCAGTAGATATGCAAAGTCTAGCTCTCTCTTCTCTCTCTCTCTCTCTGTACAAGAGGTACACCAGTACGTACTGCATGAATGAGCTTGAGCGAAGCCACATGCCTTCGCATCGACATGTGGATGTTGTTCTGCAAGTTGAAGAGGGATCCGTCCGTGTCCATTTGAACCTGGTATTTGCTGCAGAGTTGTTTGTGGTTGCAGAATGTTGCAGATGCAATCAGCGGTCATAATTGGTCAAGAACCTGACTTTGTGTCATCAACTAGCCTGAATGCCAGCAAGGTGTTCTCGAAACACATGCTATTGGTGCCTGGTGCCTGCATAACATGTACTCACCCGGGGCGCAGCTTCAAAAGCCTGGGTGTTGCATCACACTCATGTGGAGGCTGGCTGTTGTCAAAAAGCCATTTGTTTGTGTTGACAGCTCATGGGCCCCGTATTCATACGGAGCATTCAATCAAGATTGTCCGACATCCCTTCAGTGTTTTGATCTGGTGTTACAGCCGTTCCTCGCTGATTTTAACACCAGAAAGTAATCACAGTCAATACCGGGCCCTTTAGTTCCCTTCACAAGTTCCCTCTTTCCAAGGAATGGGCCATTTGCGGTGAAGGTCATAGCCATGACCATGGCCAAGGACGCGCCATTGGCTCGCATGGCGAATTGAAGCGTGCCATCCTCTCGGTGAAGACCTTGTGGTTCTCTTGCCATGGGCTTTGCTCCCCAAGGTTGGCATGATCCATTGGTCCCCTAATCAATCGAGTGCCAATGAGTCACTATGCATGACCTCCTTTGAAGCTGCAGGTTGATCATTCATGCCAATAAGTCGCTCAACAGCAAACTGGCAAGGGCCCGAGACAATTGTCTCGGTGTTAAGACCATTTGTTTCGAAGGATTTCTCCAGCAAATGTTGAAAGCCTAGAAGGCAGGGTTGCATGAGCAGCACTGCCAAGGGAGGGATGCATATTTGTTCCAAGCACTGCAAGAAGAAGGGGAGCTGAACATGGCTACATCCCCAGAGTATCAATCATTGTGGGATGAGTCGAGGTTGCAGCAGTTGTGCGTGCTTGGTTTGATTGGAAGCCTTGTCTAGTCCCCACAGAGTCTTGGAAAGCGAAGAATCGCAACAAACGCAGGAGGAGATCTGGTATGCGTGATGCAGGTAGACACGATGATGCTTCCACTTCACAAGTGGGCACTCTTGTCACAGCCGAGATTTGAAGGAAAGTCATGATTTTCCGGCGGGGAGCAATGACCTTCCTACATGAGTCCAGCTTCACATGCTTTATTGGACATGAAGCCAGGTATGTTCAGATTTTAGTTTCCCGTCACGGGTCAGGATCCTGTACTCAGGTGCCCAATTGTCTTAAAGCAATCATCTTGTCTTGAGCTGGCAAATAGCCTTGCAACGCTGCGAGTCGGGTTCCTCACACGAAGTACAGCTCGCTTCAGGAGATGAAGCAAAGAGGGACCAACTACATCTTCGCCCACTCGCAGGGCAGTCATTTCGCCTACTATGTCGCCAAGCTTCTGAGGAGCAGCCTTGGATTTCTGAGCTGTTGCTGCTTTGAGGTCAAGGACTTCCCCATGACAGCTGCGGATTATTGCTTGTGTATGTGTCTACATGTATGTATGTGTGTGTGTGCGCGTGTTTTTTTTTGTTTTGTTGTTTGTTTCTTTTGTGTGTGCAGGCAGGCGGGCGGGCAGGGGTGCGCGGGTGGATGGGTTGAGCGTGCTCACGTTCGCGATCCTGCTTGTCTTTGTGCGTTGCCTGTGCATGTGCCTTTGCGTTTTCGTCCTTGCGTGGGTGTGTTTCTGAGTGTCTGTGTGTGTGTGCGTATGTGTCTTTCTGTGTGTGTGTCTCTGTGTGTCTCTGTGTGTGTGGCTCTGTGCGTGTGTGTGTGTGTGTGTGTGTGTGTTTGTTTGTTTGTTTGTTTGTTTGTTTATTTGTTTGTTTGTCTGTTTGTTTGTTTGTGTGTTTGTTTGTGTGTGTGTGTGTTTGTTTGTGTGTTTGTTTGTGTGTTTGTTTGTGTGTTTGTTTGTGTGTTTGTTTGTGTGTTTGTTTGTTTGTGTGTTTGTTTGTGTGTTTGTTTGTGTGTTTGTTTGTGTGTTTGTTTGTGTGTTTGTTTGTGTGTTTGTTTGTGTGTTTGTGTGTGTGTGTTTGTTTGTGTGTTTGTTTGTGTGTTGTTTGTGTGTTTGTTTGTGTGTTTGTTTGTGTGTTTGTTTGTGTGTTTGTTTGTGTGTTTGTTTGTGTGTTTGTTTGTGTGTTTGTTTGTGTGTTTGTTTGTGTGTTTGTTTGTGTGTTTGTGTGTGTTTGTTTGTGTGTGTTTGTTTGTGTGTGTGTGTTTGTGTGTTGTGTTTGTTTGTGTGTGTGTTTGTGTGTGTGTGTTTGTGTGTGTTTGTGTGTGTTGTGTGTGTTTGTGTGTTTGTGTGTGTTTGTGTGTGTTTGTGTGTGTTTGTGCGTGTTTGTGTGTGTTGTGTGTGTTTGTGTGTTTGTGTGTTTGTGTGTGTTGTGTGTTTGTGTGTGTTTGTGTGTGTTTGTGTGTGTTTGTGTGTGTTTGTGTGTGTGTGTTGTGTGTGTGTGTTTGTGTGTGTTTGTGTGTGTTTGTGTGTGTGTTTGTGTGTGTTGTGTGTGTGTTTGTGTGTGTTTGTGTGTGTGTTGTGTGTGTTTGTGTGTGTTGATGTGTGTTGATGTGTGTTGATGTGTGTGTTGATGTGTGTGTTGGTGTGTGTGTGTTGGTGTGTGTGTGTTGGTGTGTGTGTGTTGGTGTGTGTGTTGGTGTGTGTGTTGGTGTGTGTGTGTTGGTGTGT